AATGATTACTCATGTATTAGAAAGGGGAGTCACCAGAGAAGAAATTCCTAATCCATCAAGGTTCCTTCTTATCTTATATCGAAGAGTGATATTATAGTAATATTTCTATTTACTGAACTGTGATCTCAAATATTGCTTATCTATTGTGAGAGCTCCCAAATAAATTAAAAACATTGTAGAAAATCATGTAGGCTATTGAGCGCCACACAGCAAAAAAAAATCCAAACTACTTTCCCACTTGCGCCATTAAGCCCGATTTGATGCAATTATGAGCTTTTTTTTTTTTTTTTTTCAAATATGCAACTTAAAAATTTTTACTATGGGATCTCCACATCTTAAAAACATTTTGACCATGTGATCACGAATGTTAAAAAAAAAATAAGCTCACAAGTTAGTGATATATTGACAAGGGTACTCGGAAGGACAACTTCTTCGTAATTATGGTTCAGTACCGTGTTAGAATACGGTATAATACTGTGATTCACTACAGATCACCATGTGATCATAGCGGTTATATAACATATTATGTCATATTTACCTTCTCATTCAACCATTGATACCTTCCCAACTCAGTTACCTTTACTTGGATATATTAATATTTTGCCTGATATAGGCCCCTGTAAGTTGTCTTTTAACATTTCCTGTTTATCAATATTCAAATAATGTTGACACAACACTTTTGAACACAGGAAAAACAGATAAACATAAATTATTTCTTGCGCAATAGTGTCAAAAAAGGATAGCCCACATCATGGATATAACCATAACACATCAAGGTTGCTTAAAAGACCCATCCTGATAACATGTATAGCGACCCGAGTTTTTTTTCCATTTGATTATATGATCCGGACTTAGGTCCTCATGAATTCCGTTCATTGTTATTAACTTATTGTTGTCATTCATTATATTTTCTTATTTTGAGTCTTGGGTTGTGTTGGGAAGATATTGGAGCAGGTTGGTTGACGCTTAGGAACAGAAGTTCTAGTTGCCCAGATTTTGGCGTTCCGCCGAGCGGGGGATTGAGCGCTCGCTCGCAGGGTAATACACCCATCTAGTATTGTACCTAGTGTAGCATGTGGGCGCTCAAGCCGGGGAATTGGAACGCTTCGAGCAGCGAAGCCTATGTAAACCAGTGGGACGCATCGAGCGGGGTTTTGGCGCTCGAGAGCTGGGGATAACCTGTTCTGCCCAAAAAATTCCTGGAGTGTGCATTCGCGCCGCAGCGTGAGTTTGGCTGCGCTCGGCGGGTAGTCTGTGAGTGCGCGCTCGAGCGGGGTTCCACGGCTCGAGCCGGGCGGACGGTATAACAAACCGAAGATCCACTTTTCGATCATTTTTCACCTCCTTTTTGATTTTAAAAAACCCTAGAACCGTCTTTCTCCTCTCCCAACACACCTTCTCTCTTAGGTTTGATCACTTAGCAGTGTATTCTACCCCTAAATCCTCTTGCTTAAAAAGATAGAGTGGGTCGAGGGCTCCGTTTTAATCTGACAATCTTGGGTTTGGAGCACTTTTGGTTTTCGTCATTCTTCTCCATTACGAGGTTCTTCGCTTCAAGGTAGGGGATCCTACCCATCCTATAAGTTTTTGTTCCTAAGTTTTGGTATTTTGATATGTTGGGAGTACTTTGGTAATTTTTGTGAAGAAAAATCTAGTTGTATAATAAATTAATTTGTATAATTAATTTAAAGGAATATATGAAATTGGTTAAAGCATTGAAATTGGAGATCATTGATTTAAATGGTGTTAGTTGGATAATTAAAGTCCCACTCGCTTATGAATGTTGAATATATTTATTTCCATCTAGAAATAACTGTCTTTTGGGCCTATCGGTGGAGGATAGTCTGGTTTGTTGTAGACTTGCGTGTGGGAGTTAGGAATAACTGAAAACTAATCACATTGGTTAAGTCATAATTTTATGTGACTATTGCATTAATACAGAAAAATACGTGTATTGATGATCTCTCTCTTTCCCCCCGGTGTGAGCGAGATCAATCAATCACGTATTTTCTGTATTTATGCAATAGTCAAAATTAATGGACTTAACCAGATAGTTTCAGTTATTTCCTACTACACGCAATGGTCACAACAAAACACGACATCCTCCACCGATAGCCCAAAAACAGAATCTAGACTGAAAAAAATATCAACAATTCAATAAGCGAGTGATTGATTTTTAATATCCACACACATTAATCAATGAAATTCCTCAATTTCATGCATTTAACCAATTCCCCAATTTCCTAAATTAATAACAAATAATTATTTAATACAACTAGATTCCAAAAAATACCAAAGTATCTCCCAACATATCAAAATACCAAACTTAGACAAACTTATAGAGGATGGAGGTGAGGAAAATCCCTACTCTTTGAAGCGAGAGAACTCGTATGAGAGAAGATGACGAAAACCAAAGTGCTTCCAAACCCAAGATGTTCAGAGATTAAACGGAAATGCCTCGACCCAGCCTATCTTTTTAACAAAGGACTTAGGGTGAAATACACTCTAGTAGATCAAACCTAAAGAGAGAAGGTGTGTAGCGGAGAGGGAGAAGACGGTTCTAGGGTTTTTTAAAATCAAAAAGGAGGTGAAAAATATCCAAAAAGTCGGATCTCGGATTTTATACCAGTCGCCCCGCTCGGAGCGTGGAAAACCCCCGCGTCGAGCGCCACTCACAGACTTTCCCGCTCGCAGCGGCCAAATCTCCCGCTCGAGCGGCTGAATGCACACTCCCAGAAGATTTTTGCAGACATGGTCCCCGGCGTCCGAGCGCCAAATTCCCCGCTCGAGGCGTCACTCACGACTTCCTGCTCGGAGCGTCCAATCCCCCGCTCGAAGCGGCCAACACTTACACAGGACATACTAGATGGGTGTATTCCCCGCTCGAGCGTCCAAACCCCGCTCGAGCGAACAAGGCCAAAATCTGGGCAAACTAGACTTGGTCCTAAGCTCAACCAACCTGACTCCAAATCTTCCCAACACAGACCCAAGACTCAAAATAAGAAAATTAATGAATGACAACAATAATTATAACAATGACGGGAATCTACGGAAGCCTAAGTATCCGGATACAATAATCAAATGGGAAAAAAACCGGGGTCGCTATACATGTTATCAGGATGGGTCTTTTAAGCAACCCTTGATGTGTATGGTTAATCATGAGTGCTTCTTTTTTGACACTATTTGCGCAAGAATAATTTTGTTTCTGTTTTTCCTGTTTCTAAAAGTGTGTGTACACATTATTTTGAATATTGATAAACAGGAAATGTCTTAACAAGACAAATTACAGGGGCCTTTCAGGCAAAATAATTATATATCCCAATAAAGGACTGAGTTGGTGAAGGTTATCAATGGTGTGGTGCATAGAAGGAAATATGACATAAATGTTATATAACCGCTATGACTCACATTGGTGATCTGAAGTAATCACAGTATTATAGTTTCTAATATATCTGAACTTATTGGCTATTTTTTAAAATTCTGATCACGTATGGTGAAACTTTAAAGACTGCAATGTATATCTTAAATAGAGTTCCTAGTAAGGCGGTCCCAACAACTCCTTTTGAGTTGTGGACTGGTAGGAAACCTAGTTTGAGACACTTACATATTTGGGGTTGTCCAGCAGAGGCTGTGGCCCAATAGCCTACATATTTTTTACATGTTTTAATTTATTTGGACTCCACAATTAGATAAAGCCAATATTTGAGATCAAGTTCAGTAAATAGAATTTTAATATAATCACTCTTCTAAGATAAGAAGGAAACCTTGATGGATTAGGAATTCTTCTCTGGTGACTCCCCTTTCATATCATGAGTATTTTTCCATCACTTTAAGCTTTATAGTCATCCTAATTAAGAGAGACAGAGAGAAGAAGGTGAGCCAAAATTAAAGGTTCAACTCTAAAGGGGTATTTTATCAACTTCTCTAATTCAATGGCTGACAAAGGTATATTCGTTTTATTCTTGAGTTGTATTGAATTCAAGATCCTGTAAAGTTTAATTCCGCATTATTATTATGATTACATGTATTATTAAATCTTACATTTACTATTTCATAAATTGCATGTGCAACAACAACACCAATGAATATAATTAGAAAAGTATGGACTACAAGGCATATCATGATACTATTAACAAATATAATCATATACTGAAACACATAAAAATATAATCATGTACTGAAACACATAAAATTGTATGGTCTATCAATAATGCACTCTCTTTTTTCTTTCCCCTTTTCTATTAACTTCATGAATCAAGTGAACATACAAAAATTTCTTTCGGTGGCAGGAAGAGAGGTTATGATAAAAGCTGTCATTCAATCCATCCCTACTTATGTTATGTCTTGTTTCCAGCTTCCAACAACTTTTTGTGCTGAGATTGATTCCATGGTGTGTCGTTATTGGTGGGGACAAAGTGGAAATAAGAGGAAAATTCATTGGACCTCATGGGAAGCTTTGTGTCACCCGAAATGGGAGGGAGGAATGGGCTTCCGCCGATTGGCGGATTTTAACAGTGCTTTGTTGGCCAAACAGGGATGGCGCCTCCTTCAGTCCCATGACTCGTTATTTGCACGGTTGATGCGGGCCAAGTATTATCCGACCTCGACGTTTTTGGAAGCAGAGTTGGGGTGCAAACCCTCTTTCACATGGCGGAGTATTTTTAATTCTAGACCCCTGTTGATGGCCGGTTTACGGTGGAGAATTGGAGACGGACACACTGTTAAAATTTGGAGCGATAGGTGGTTGCCTCGGGGTCATTCTTTTCTCCCCATTTCTCCTCCTTCTCTTCCTCAGGATACTACGGTAAGTTTTTTGTTAGATTCAGCCCGTAAGTGCTGGGACTTGGGCAGGCTACAGACCCATTTTCTTGATGTTGATGTGGATGTGATTCGAAAAATTCCTATTTTGTTAACATTTTAATTATTATAAACTAATAATCTATTTAATGAGATAAATATTTCTCATACTCAAAATCTAAATTGAGAGGACGGCACGGTGAACCCATGGTCCCAGCATAAATTCATCCCTGATTACTAACTACACGACAAAAGAAGGAAACAAACGCGAAACACGAGGCTGAGAAATTAAAAAATAGTAGTGGTTGCAAGAGACCATGATAGGTCTATTAATGTCAGAGCTTCACCTTAGAGTAAAAATGATACATCTTCATGTCAATGTCATATTTGTAAATATGTACAGATTGAATGAACCATCTACAATCACTTACCAGCTGGATGGTCCTCCACTCCAATAATTAATCAAACGCTCACATAGCTCCGGAAAAAAAATAATAATAATAACAATAATAATAATAAAATAAAAAAGAGCTATAAATTTATTCATAATTTTTAATTGGTAAAATTATACTAACAGTCTCTATAATTTAAAACTTATGTTATTTTAGTCTTTAATTTTTTTTAATTTTGATATATTTGATCTTAAATTTTGAATTTTGTTTCAAATAAGGACAATTGAAGATACCATTACTTAATTTTAAAGGCAAAGTCGTCAATTTGATAAAATATAAACTGATTTAACAAAAATAAATGTCAAAAAAATATTTTTGAATTTTTAAAACTATTTTTATCCACCAAAAATAAAATTATATAAAATTGATAAATCTTTTATATATTTATTTTTTTTATTTTTTTTACCAAATTAATTTTTATTATGTGTTTGGATGATGATCATGTAATGGATGGTTGTTTTTACTTTTATTAAATTAATTTCTATGTTTTCAAAACTCAAATATGGCAACAACTTTGATATCATTATTAAAGGATAGGGGGTCACTGTTGTGCCCCTCCCTGCTGTGTTCCTGCTATGCCGAAAACGGCACAGTTTCACCACTTTCTTCTTTTTTTTTCATATTGTCACTATATTTTTTTGGCATGATAAATTACACTTTACCCTTAAACCCTAAACTCTAAGATAAAAAAATAAATAAAATAAATAAGTTTTAAGAATTAAACCTAAACTCTAAACCCTAAAATTCAAAAAATTAAAAATTAAACCCTAAACCCTAAAATAAAAAATAAAAAAATTTAAAAATTAAACCTAAGTCCTAAACCCTAAAATAAATAAATAAAATAAATTTTAAGAATTAAACCCTAAACCTTGAAATTAAAAAAAATAAAAATTAAACCTACACCGTAAACCCTAAAATAAAAAAAAATTAAGAATTAAATCCTAAACCCTAAACCCTAAACCCTAAAATAAAAAAAAAATAAATTGTAAGAATTAAACCATAAACCCTAAAATAAAAAAATAAATAAATTTTAAAAATTAAACCCTAAACTCTAAACCCTAAAATAAAAAAAATATAAAAAATTAAGAATTAAACCCTAAACTCTAAATCCTAAAATAAAAAACATAAATTTTAGGGGGGGGAAAAGAAGATGAAACAGTGCCATTTTATGGCACAACAGGAACACAACAGGGAGGGGGCACAGCAGTGACCTCACTCCCATTAGGATTAAACCAATTCATTAAATTCAAAAATTCAAAACTGAAAATATTTCATATATTAAATATATTAATTACACATTAAATGCCTAACAACCACACATTACGTGATCATCATCTAAATATATAATAAAAATT